TACCCTGAATCGCGTCTTCTGGAAGCACTTCACTCGACGACAGATGTTCGACAGTCTCGCTCCGTCTTCTCCTCCCCTCTCGAGATAAAGTAAGGAGTTCACTGCGGAACGCGTCTATTCATTTAAACAAATTTATTTCGAGGAAATCATCAGGAGGTTTATAATCCACACGCTAAACATGTGAAAACATCGTCCCGAAAAATTCCCTTCGTCGTGATTAATTCGAACGCGGAGAGATAAAGCAAGAGATAACGGCGGTTTATTTAACTGACTTGAGCCGCGAATGAAATCTTGAAGTCAAATATTTAGAAAATTTTTTTTGTAAGCCACGCGTGTGCGTTGTTTAGCCGCGGCTTTAGAAAACACCTCCGCTTTTGCGTCACGGCAGGCTGCCTTTACGAATTTCCACGCAGCCGCGAGCACGTGGACGGTGCGGCGATAAGACGCGCGCGAGTTTGCTTACGAGCAAACCCGCGCGCGCGCCATTAAAGCGGCCACGGTGGCCGCTGCTTCCGGTTTGTGCACGTAAGCAAGAAACGCACGTGCGCTACGTACCCCGCACATGTGGGGTGTTCACGCACCTTGCTTCCGCGAACGTCCACTTTCACGTCTCTTGTGCGCGAAGCGCCAAGAAGGAGGAGACGCGCGGACACTCGTTCTGAACGCGCGTAGGTAGGTATAAAAAAAAAAAGAAGAAAAATAGCAGCTCTCGTTCCACTACTCTATGGGTGTGTGTGTGTGTGTGTGTACGCGCTCGCGCGAATCTGCCATTAGCATAACAAAAACGGAATATGGGATACATTTGCGCGATGTCGTTTCGGGCAAGCTGACGACCGAGGTAAGCGCGGGACTATGCACATTGTGACCGACTTCCGCTCTCTCGAATCTGCTTTCGTCCGTCGGCCGGAAGTTGCGAAGGAAATTATCTCTTCTGAGACCGCCCGAGAGAATTTCAGCGAAAACGAACAATGCGTATTTACACAGTCGAATGCCGCGAGTGAGAGATAGCAGTGTTAACGAAAAACATAAATATTCTCGTCTTTATAAGATATTTGGAAATTAGATAGAATTTTATCTCGAAAATGCTCGTTCTATCTCACTTATCGGAATTGTTTCGAATCTCTGCAGTCACGGAAAACGATTACATTTCAGAGAATCATTGTATGATAACGCGATGATCGCGTTTCCAATCTATTCAAAGTATGTTTGTTCTAGTAGAGTAACTGTGATACTTTTTTTTTGTTTTTTTTTTGTTTTTGTTATTTTGTTTTTGAAGAGAAATCCTGTCGAGATAAGGCGGCGGCAAGTACGTCAGGAAAAAAAAACGAATCCCGACACGCTCGTATCGTCCGTCCGGAGGTCGTTCATCGTTCAATTTGCTGCGGCGTCATTCAGAACGGGAAGGATGAATGGACGCTTCTGGGGAAAGGACTGCGTATCGGGGGCAGTGTATATCCTGACGACGTCCCGAACCCTTAAAATAGGCGGAGAATTCCTCGATTAAACGGTCCGGCCAGCTGACAGGAATACTACGCGGAACACAACCGCAAACCGGTTCGCGAAACGCTTGTGGGAACAAAGACGGGTTTCTCGTTCGCGGCGCTTTCTGACGTCACACGCGAAGCGGAAAGTGGGTGGATAGGTGTGTGGAGGTTGCCGAGTCAGTGAGGACGGTCAGTGATCGCTACACGATAATAGAGTGCGTTCTCCTCTACGAGGTTCTTCCTAAGAACGAGACTCGCGAGACGACTTCCGCGCACCGTAACGTCAACTCGGAGGACACGTAAAAACCGCAAGAAATTTCATTTTCAAGCAGTTGAAGAGAATTTCAGGAAAGAGAGAAGGAGAGAGAGAGAGAGAGAGAAAGAGAGAGATCGTTGTTACAACCCAACACAATTGCTTTAATTAAATTGAATTAGCTTTTTACAAAGTTAAACACGATTTTTGAGAAGTTATCTGTGGGTTAACTAATGTTTTTTTTTTTTTTTTTAATATTAAATAACCTTCTTTTCAGGTTTTGATTCTCTCGTGAATGACAGAGTAAAACTTACGGGAAATTCTGGATTCTTGAATCGCGAAGCTGATGAAGCATTGTTTGTTGCATTCAACAAACGAGTGTTACGCAATTTGCATTGCAATAAAGTTTCGTCACGGTCAGCAACTTAATGCGTCACCGATCGATTTCGGTGACTCAGATCGAGCGCAACACCGGAGGCAAACGAAACCCTTTCTTCGAAAACGAGCATAAACCAACCGCGGTCCAGCCCGAATGGGAACGGACGAAATCGCTCCGAGATCTTTCGCGGTTAAAAAGAACGATTACGAAGAACAAAAAAAAAACAATAAGACAAACTTGGTTACGATGCGAAAGTAAAAGAAGTAGTTTAGCTGCGAACATTGAAAACGAAAACAAGAAAAAAAGCGCAACAGGGAGATGAGAAAATAAAGAGGCTGAGAATCCCTGCGATCGAGAAGCGAGTGATTCAGCAGACCGCAAAAACACGGGGAAAAAGAACGAAGCGAGGAAGGGTGAGGAGAGCACAGAGGCGGTATATCTCGCATCCCGACGAGTTACTTTCCTCGTTTATTTCGCAACAGTAATCGCGGCAAGAAACAAAGTGCTTTTCCCCTTTGATGTCTAATTCTTACGTTTCCCCGATAAAACAAAATAAATAAAAACGTTATTTATTGAATACATAATATTTCGATAATATATTCGAGCTGATTGCTAGTCGTCGCTAACAAAAATCTCAGAAACCGAACCGTGTCTCTTCTCCTTTCACTAGTCCTCAACGGTTCAGGAGACCTCCCACAAAGGGCTTGGCATTGCGTTGGTCCCTTGAAACTCCCTGCCAGGAAAAAGTCATCGACACGTGCGAGTCACCGCGCGAGAAAAAATTCTACCGGCAACCTTTAACTTTGATTTCAATCGGCAACAAACGACTCTTGTCCTCTGGCAAAGAACTAAAACGCATATCTTGTCGTTTTATAGACACACACACACGCACACGCACACATACACGTGTCGGGAAAATAGAAAGAACCAAAAAAGTCGGTCATCAGATTACGATGGAATGTAGAACGCAATAAAATCCGAACCGAAAGCCTTTTTGTGGAGTTCTTGGCGCTATAAAAGTGCCTTTTAATTATTGTTACATGCGCGCGTATACATTTTAAAACACTAGAACGCAACGCCGCGTCATTGACACATTATGGCATACATAATTTCACATGGTTTTTACGAAATTATTTCACGTGCGAATCGGTAAAAAAAAAAAATATAACCACGTACAATCCCGAACTGTTTAAAGTTGCGAATACAAAATCAATCTGCGGAAAGGCGGCAACAATAAACATCGAGAGAATCGATTCTGATTCTTGACACGCGCGTACACCGAATCAAGAATTTATTTAAAAAAAAAAAAAAAAAAAAACCCTTGTGTCACACGAGCCAAAACTTCCATTTTTGTCTCAGTCAACATTTGCAGTGATAAGACGACACGGAAGATGAAGAAGAAGAAGAGACGCTGTATTAGGTTTCGAGGACAAAAGTCGCGCGCGCCAGCAAAGGGGTTGGAGTTGGAGTTTCCAGTTACATACTCTCTTCGCGAGAAGAACACACTGTCGTCGACAATGCCGCATTCGCCAACGAGACGTTTCTCGCGAAAGGAAGGACAGTCTCTCTGATGAGAAACGCGGCGGGAAAGCGAGACGGCACCAAACCAATGGAGAAACGATATATCCTCTCCTTTTCCCGACTCCCTCGCGGAGAATCCATGTGGATCGTCCCATTGAGAGAAAAGTCGGTCAACGATACACCGCGGCTCAGAGAGAGAGAGAGAGAGAGAGAGAGAAAGAAAGAGAGAGAAAGAGAGAGACTGTACAAGCTTGTCGCGAAAATGAGCTTTTACCGAACGCGCCAATGGAAATGAGCGGCGATGATAACGACGAGCGCTCTGAAATCGGAACACAGTCCGGAGGAAATGACGCTTCTTCGCGCTCAACGTTTCGCAACCTATTTTCTATTGTATCGCATCCCCCTCGCTTTTGCATCGATCGCAGATTATAGACTTATTAGCCGACGAATTTGGCATTTGTGCGACGTAACAAGTGGGGATTTAAACACATCCGTCTGTATGCAGAAATTTCTTTTTTTTTTTTTTTAGTTTTAGAAATTTCATTTTTATTTCTTTTCATTTACACAAATTTTCTCTCTCTGTGTTGAAATTTTTTTATCGGACTTGTTTTTTCAAACTCGGAACTCGAAATTGTCAGCTTTAATCTAATTTGTGTTAAAGCTGCAAAAAAATTGCATTGACCAGCGCATATAGATTTTTCTCTCAAACGTGCATGTGGTAAAAAGTTAGATGAGCAGATGCTTCGTAAACAATTATCGAACTTGCGGCGCGATAAACCGCCGATCGTATACCGCAGAAAATAAAAGCCCGAAATTGTTTTCCTCGTTGTATCGCCGATTTAGAGAGTTTAGAGAGTCGTTCCTCCAACCTCCCCCGATATGACGTGGGAGCGCGTTCCTCCACGCTCGGTCTGCAATATTCAACGAGCCGATCGATAAATTCAATTCTGCAACGATAATTTGAATGCAAATTCCTTTGGCAAAAGTCCGGAACAATATTTGTGGCGATTCATCGCTCTATATACCAGTTTATTTTATTTCGATGTGTTGGAGTCGACGATATTTTCGACCAAACTCGCAATCAAACTCGGAGAATTAAGATTTATTTTGTAAACAAAGACAAAAAAAAAATCAGAGACTGACGAGAACCAGCTGAGCCGGCGTTCTAATATAATACGGCAAACCCACAAGAAGAAAATCCCGAGTGCGTTGACCGACAAAATCGGACGGAGTCTCGCTCGTCCGATCGATCGGCAATAAGTCGCATGGTCAGTCGAGCGACGATCGGAAAGCGTCAAAGACAATGAGGGAGAGACAGAGAGAGAGAGAGAGAGAGACAGAGAAAGACGGAGGTGTGGCTCACCTAGACCCATCTTGCGCTTAAGCTTCTTCAGCACTTTCATCTTGCTGCGTAGAGGTGCCAGGATGTTGTTGTTGTCGCCGCTGTTGTTGTGTTGCGGCGACGCGTTCGCCGGTGCGTGCTTGCCGTGATGGTGATGATGGTGGTGATGATGATGGTGCTGATGATGGTGATGATGATGAGGTTCGCAGGGCTGCGTGGACGACGGTGGCAACGGTGGCGGCTGCTGTTGCTGTTGCACGCTCGCGCCGGAACTACCGACGTGAACGCAGCAATGACAGGGGTGGCTGCTTCTGCTGCCCTTGACCGCGCACTCTCCGGACACCCCCATAAATGTGGCCGTGCTGCTTTCGGAGCACGAGAAGGAGAGTTTCGGGCGCGAAAATTCGTAACGAAAGTTCGCAGAGAGAGAGAAAGGAAAGATACAAGAAGATCGAACTGCGACGACGATTCACTGACGGTCGCACTTTTTTTTTTTTTTTTTTGGACACTGAATCGTGTGAAGATATTACTCCCTAAGGTTCCTTCACACCACTGAGGAAGCGCGACGAAATGGACGACGACGGATTGAGACAATCAGAAAAATGGAGCCTATTGTATCCTTTTTATATCTCGTCCCGATGGCTATTTTTATTCGTTCGACGACGTGGTGGTTCTTTACGGGTCACTTCGTAAATCCCAAAATCCAAGATAAAGAGAGAGAGAGGAAGAAACCGCGTGTGGAAAAAGAGTGTGACCGCGTGTCACACGAGTGTGGCGCGATTCAGCACGAAAAAATCGCAAATCGCCCTACGTGCCCGGTCGAGCGCCCCGGGACGACTGACTGTTTTCTGTTGCGGAGCGCGAGAGTATTGCCGCAACGCGCGCGAGCCAACATCCAATCGGACCGCACGGATCCCCACCGATTCGTCGAAGGTGGAGGCGCACGGAGAGGGGGTGACTGGCACCTGGTGGACAGCTGCCCCTTACCTGGCTGGCGACGCACCCGGCCACCCCAACGCGCGCGAGAGACTGGGATACATCGTCGCCCGGGGGTTAAACACGTACGAAGTGACCGCTGATTGGATGAGAAAACTTCGACTTCTCACTTCGGTTAATTTGGACCTTTTCACAATCGAAGTTCGCGGAGAGAGAAGTCGAATCGAAGTTCGCACGAGTCTCTTTTTTTCCCGGCGATTTCCCATCTCTTTCTGTCTATCTATCTCTCTCTCTCTCCCCCTCTCTCCCTTTATATTCTATTGACTGTAAAGAGCTATCTATTACTTGATAATACAGAATGAAAAGGGATCTATTTAATTGGGAGTGTATTTCGATGCTGACGAATCGGAAAGAGAGAGAGAAAGAGAGAGAGAAAGAGAGAGCGCGCGCGATCGATCTCCGACACGGTCTCCGAGAGACGCAGCTCGAAGCATATCGAAAGGGAAGATCGTGTTTCCATGGGACTTGAGATGCATCTCTCATCCCATGACGAGATATACAGACCGAGATAATGGTAATGGTAATCAAATGGAGAAAAATGATATCCGTGGTACATTGACGCGGAGTCACACACGTGCGAACGTACCTCATACAGGTACCCATATATACGATACGTACTTTTGATCGGTCACGAATTTGTACGGTTGACGGTTCGTTTAATTTCATGCGGGTTCGCACCAAGAAATCGTCTAGGTATTTCAAAAAGCCCACTTTTTGATGTACAACCATTATAATTTTAACGAGCTCGCAAGAGAGAAACGCGTAACGTGAGGGTTCGAATTTTTCGAGAACACGGGCGTGTTATAATTTTTCTCCCCCCTCCCCCGGTGAAACGAACTTCAATTTGACGCAACTTGCGTAACACGTCGAATCGACTTAAGCGCGAGGAAGAAACATCGTTTCCGCGGCCGACACGCGGGAATTGGATCTGTATCGAGTTGACGAAGTGAAATCGAAGTCCCCGATGACGATCGATACACAACGGATACTATCTCGCGAGAATTCGACACTTCGTACCCAACTCGGAAGCTTCGATGTTCCGTGTGTGAAAATTTACACGGTCGAATATGAAATTACGTTTATCTCAGGTGAAATTTGTAAATAAAACTCGAACCGCGACACACATTGAAAGAAATGGCAATAAACGAAAAAGTCAATGAGATGAGACGGCGCTAAATATATACAACGTCGGGAAAACCGTAACCCTTCATATCGATCATATCGCGCTCACATTTGTCTCGCCCTATTTGGCACCTCGCTTTACGGCGCTAAATGACTTTTATTCTGCGACCCTCTCGCCGATCGGTAACTCGAATTTCGCACACACCCAACAGGTTGCGGCGGCAACACATTTGTGCAAGGTGCATCGATATTATTATGCACCCTTGCGAAGTACGAACGAAAGTACCGCTCTGTCAGTTCGAATGAGAGAGAGAGAGAAAAAAAAAGAAAGAGAGAACTGCTGCTGTTACTTTAGTTTTTGTTAGCTTATAAAAATTATTTACATTTAAAGGAAAAAGAGAAGTGAAATTTCTAGACTAAAAAAATACAAAGTTTTCTTCCACTTCTGTGATTCTTCCACTTCTCCAATGTCATTTCATCAACCGTCTAATTAAAAGTAAAGAAGATGTCAAGCCTCTCTCGTAAGAGAACGCGTAAAGCGCGTTAAATTAGCAGAATTTCTTTGAACGTAAAAGAACTTGCGGTATGTCGTACAAGGTGCAAATACGCGCGCTTATTTAACGTCAAGAGTAAACCTAACCCGGGGCACACGCGAGAGTCAAATCAAATAGGCGCGCGCAGCATCTACGCGTGTATAACACTCGACGAAAAAGAGATTTGTCACGCAGCGCGGTTTCCACGCACCGTTCCTCCGCTCACGGTCGTGCGTGCGTGCGTGCGTGCGTGCGTGCGTGTGTCGCGGATATTTTATTTCGCTTCGTGTGTGTCTGGTGTACGTACGCGGGAGTAGGAAACGGGCCAAGAGACTCGCATTCTTCTCGCAGGATGGGAAATATACCCACGGCACCGTGGCCTGCGGCTTCCTTTCGCACATCCTTTTTCTTCGGACGACCGGCGTCTCTCTTGCGTAACGATTACGACGAGTAGTAACGGGCGACCTCCGTTCGTTCGCCTGACGAATTCATTCATCGATTGATCAAGCAGACAATTAGCACATCTCGGGACCTCGTTAATAAAGAGCCAAACGACGATATCGCGTTTGAAATTCGAAAGCTTTCATTAATATAATTGGAAACAAATTAATTACGTTAATTAAAACATTATGGAATGTTTACTTTTCGATATAATGAGCAATTCCATCTCGATAATTGCAACGAGATTTGCTGCATTGTTTTTTTTTTTTTTTATTTTAATTTCTTACTCGCGCCCGAGGAAGCGAACGATATAATCGCGACTCGCGAGTTCCGTAAGAGAGAATATAATTATAAGATAAGTCCGAAAGAAGACTCCTCTCTTCCTTCGCGCACATCGCCCCGTCAATTAATTCTCTCTCTTTCTCATTATATATCCCCGCTACGTTGTGTGCGCACGTGAAAACCGCGCGCATATTGTTCCCTCTGCACGTGAACGCGCGCAGCACGCGCGGCCCGTTCTGCCGGTTATTTATATATGCACGCGCGCACATGCAGCGAGAGAGTTTCCTCGCACGTCGCCTATGTGTATGACGATGATAATAATGCACCCCGTTGACCGCACACGCACAGACGCGTGCAATTTCAGTTACGCGAGTGCGAAAAGAAGAGAGACTTCGCGTCGAGCCACGAAAACGCTAACCTGAAATCAAGTGTCCTTCACACACAATTTGCTTGGAAAAATATGACACACTTCGCAAAACTACACTCCGCATCCGTTAATTGCAATCCGACCTTCAATTTTGCAACGCAAATGTAAACAGAAAAGTAAAAACATACGTTGAACATACTTTGTTCGAGCGCGCGATTTTCACAAATTTCTTATTTTATAATTAAAACAAGTTCTTCACAGAAGACGATGTGAATTCTTCGCATCGGAGATATATATATGTATCTTTGTTTCTTTCAAGACAATCAATTTCTCGTGTGTCTCGTCCTCTGCGATTTCGCGGGCAAAATGCAAAACCTCGCAAATCCGGCCTCGTAACCTCGAGGAAACGGAGACACGCCTCGGTAGCTCACACGCCACACGTTCACGGAACTTAAAACCACCGCGGCGATACACGTTTCGGAGGAGGCTCGGAGAGAGATAAGAGCGCGCGATTTTTTATTCAATATATTCTGAAAATCTCTATTGTATCAGAATTTGTTTTACACGCCGAAGGCGAAGCTTTCGGAATGTTTGCGAAATATTTCAACTCTGTCGTCGGGATTGTTCTCTTCAGCCGAGAAACAACCGAATGTGATAAGTGGATAAGCTGCATCGGGAGCTGCGAATTGTACATTTCCCCTCTTGTACGAATAAGGGGTCCAGGCATCTGTCTGCCACGTCGTCTCGGCGTTGTGCTGCGCGCCCTTCGCAACCAGCGGCGGCGGCGGCGGCGGCGGCGGAATCGCGCGTGCAGATGCGTTTCCTTATAGGGATTCCCAGTTGCGAGGATGTCAGCGGCGAGGCGCGGCGCGACCCGTATGCATATAACATAATATGAAATAGCGGAAGCAAGGCGGATGGCAGGAAGTCGGTGAGACTGGCGCGTGCGCGCGCGCGCGCGCTCGTCGTCGCACTCTCCCTCCCGTGAAAATATAGAAGGCGGGGGCATTTTAGAAGTGTATTGTCGGGCTCGGATTACTACGTATACGCGGTTCCGCCGAATATATGGAGGGGTGTGTGGACGACGGGGGGTTCCCGGACGCGGTTGCTAACCCCGCGCGCGCGCGCGGCAATTCTCCCGATTTTTTCCCGATCTCGCAGCTGATCTCGCGACGTGATTTCACTCTCGATCTCGAATTTCAATCGCGTATTCTCCCTAACGGTCAACTTCGTCGACTACTGTGTATTTAGGCTCGTTATCCCGTTAAGCGATCATTGCAAAGCGATCATTGAAGAACTGAGATATTTCGATACGCAAGTAAAAAGTTACGATATATTCTGAGAATTTGCGAATTTAAATGCGATTTTATACTCAGTTTGGCGAGTGTCAAATAATGAAACACACAACTCGGCAAGGCGGCTCGAAGTCTCTTCGCTGCTTTGCGAGCAAGGAAGCGGAGATACGGTTGGCGGAACCTCCAGGCGGAATTGAGTCTCGCGTCGAACCGGCAATGCGTCTGAAAGCAGTCCGTTCGGGTACGATAAATTTGGGGTATTACGCACGGTCTCTCGTGAAAAGTGTGTGCATGCAATGCTTTTCCTTCAGCGGTGTTTCAGTCCCATTCACAACTCGGCGTGTCTCCTCTTACGAAAGTAACACGCGTTTCCGGAGAAGAGAAAAAATACGTAAACAGAAGAAAATTCATTTCAAACTCCAACACGCGCGACGAAGAAAATTTTTTATCAAACGAATAAATGTTCTCTTATTGCTTCTCTTATTACAAATTGCAATCGATGAAATGGAAGAAGTTGGTAGGAAAGGAATCACTGAGTTGAAATTCGTGAGAAAAAAAAAACACGTGCGTGTAACATTTATAAATTTTGAAGCGTATAGTGACGTACATTTCTTCGCACTCGTGCGTGTATACGACGACGATATTGAAGCACAATGTGCGTTGACACGTACGCTCGTGTGTAAAGCTCTTAGAGACACACGGGCTCTCTGAGGACATGAGGCTCTAAACCGAGTTGACCCTATTGTACCACAATCATTTCATTATCACTCAATTTGCGGACGCGCGATACGTGACGTTCCGAAGAAAGCGCGCGCTCGCTTTATATTCCCCGAGTGAGTTCGCTAGGAAAGTAAAATATAATCGTCTCGTATTTCGCTCTCGTAATTGCGCGTCAAGT